TGAGAATTCAAAACACAATCATAAAACATTTCAAATATAATTATATCCATTGCTTTTACTTCTTTTACTTTCCGAAGTATCAAAATAAGGAGTTTTCTATAGTTTCAAGAGCAACGGCAATTAATTTCAGAAGAAAATATTTAATGATATTTTGAATAAAGCAGATCTCTTATTTACTTATTTATCTATTGATTGATTGATTTTAGCTGAGCCATCCTGCCACTTGTTTGCAGCTCAGCTCGGGCCGGGACTCGAACTGCTGTTGCTCAGAGCTCGCACTCTTGAGCGAGCTCTTAACCAACTAAGCCACTCAACCGGCCCCTAGGTCTCATATTTAAAAATTCAGAGGACCGGCTAAGTGGCTCAGTTGGTTAAGAGTTCGCTCAAGAGTTTGAACTCTGAGCAACAGCGGTTCGAGTCCCGGACCAAGATGAGCAGCTGCTGAGCTGCCAACAGGGGGCAGGATGGCTCAGCTAAAAAAAAAAAAGAAAAAGAAAAAGAAAAAAAGTAAATAAATAAAAATTCAGTGAATTAGTTGCCACTAAAGAATATGTGACTTAAGACTAATCCAAAGACAGGGAAAGGCTAACGGTGCCTCTTCCTCATGTCCACAGCAGAGGCCAGGCCTCTGTCACCTCAGGAATTACGAGGTGCTCCTGTTCCCGAAGGGAGCACATTCTCTCCAGACCGTCTTCCCTCCCTGGCAGACAGTAACGGCTTCCAAACAATCAGGTCAGCGTAAGGCAGACTGGGGTGAGGAGCAGGGATGGGGTTCCTCTCTAAAGACTAAGATAGTGACAGATGTATCCTCAGTGTCCTCTAGGGAGAATTTAAAATGCATTTTACCACTGAAAAAGTGTTATCTCTTCTTAAAGGAATTTACCCCAAGGAAATAAAACAAATTGTGTACAAAGATATACGGTCAAATTTTCATCCCAGTGTAAAAAATAAGAGCAATCTAAATGTCTAATCACCTGCGAGTGTGTCTATGCACAGGTGTGAGGAAGTGGCCAATCCTCACATGCTTCGTGGTTGCACGGCGGAGGGTGGGGGGGTGAGAATGATGGCGAGTTTTCTTTTTTTAATTTGACATGTTTTCTTTAATGAACCTATACCACCTTTATAATGAACACGTATTATAAATATAGAAAAATAATGGTATACATTTCTGGTTCAGAGTATTCTATAAATGTTAAGCATTATATTAGTAGTGATAATGAAGTAAAAGGGTTAAAATAGGTTCTTTTGGAGTTTTATGGGCCGAAGTGTGTCACCTCCCCCAAATTCATAGGTTGTAGTCCTAAGCCCTAGTACCTCAGAATGTGACTAGATTTGGAAACTGGATCTTTAAGGAGGTGATTACATTAAAAGGAACCCATTGGAGTGGGCCCTCATCCAATCTGACTGGTGCTCTTATAAGAAAGGGAACTGTGGACACACTGAGATACCAGGGTCATGAATAGGAAAGACCATGTGGGGAGACACAAGAAGGGGGCCATCTACAAGCCAAGGAGAGAGAAGTCTCAGAAGAAACCTAACTTGCTGACATCTTGATTTTAAACTTCCAGCCTCCAGAACTGTGAGAAAATAAATATCGTTTGTTTAAGCCACCCAGTCTGAAGTATTTTGTTATGGTATCCTTAGCAAATTAGTATATGGAGTTTGATCACTTTTAAAAATATTGTTTTAAGTTTAATTCCAGGTTTTAAATAATAATAACTATTTGGAATGAAGCTCATTTCTAAGGTTAATCCTAATACATCAAATAGAATGTTAAAAAAATATTCTCAACTTCTTTCAATTAAAATGAGATAGAATATCAATAGATATTAAATAAATCTTTATTTTTTAGAACAATCTAAAACAAAGGTTTACTTTTTATAAGGACCTACGCGAGAATACTAAATACTAATAGCATGAGGTGCTCCAGGCTGATCGGTTTAGTGTTACCAGTGTCTGCACAACCCATCCGTTCTTGTAAAGCACAGCCAGACACATACAGAGGGCCCACTGCTACATAAGATAGGTATTAAGTGTACAGGTATTCCAGGACATAAAGAGCCTTGCCTTCAAACTGACACAGGAATAGAGAGAAGAAAATCAATTCATTACTAAACAATTTCAAAGTGATGTGTATGTCAGAGAGAAAAGATGGAGTATTATGTGTACAGCTTTCACAATAGGCTCCAAGAGTACAGACAGATTTCCAGGAAATGAGAGAACAGATGCAAGTTTGAAAGTAGGAAGTTTGGAGAAATGAACTTCACACCCAGATCAGGAGAGAAGACAATGAGGCACCACGTAAGGCTGTAGCCTCTGCAGGAAAGAGCTCCTGATGCACACCACGGGGAGAAACCTTTTTAGTATAAACTTTCTATGATTAAAAACAAACAAAAGAACAAGAGCCTCTCCACGACAATGCTGAATGGACCAATTCAAAAAGACTCCATTAAACAAGTCCTTGGGAGTGCTGCATGCCTGCCTTCCAGACAACGTTACTCAGAATCCTGATAGTTCATTCATTCCCTGTCAAATAATTTTCCTATTCCGTGGAAATTTTTATAAATGGATTAAAAGAATAGAGTTTTTTTGTTTCTTAAAGAAAGAGCCTTAAGACTGGTAGAATTCCTGTTAATTAATATGGTGGCATACCCAAGAGATAATACTGAGGCATAGGATGGACATATCATATGCGTGAGTCTATTGGTAGGACCTCACAACATCTATTCCCTGCTCACTCATCAAAATGCCTCTCATACAAAGTTATACAAAGTCCACTATCTTAATTATTAAGCAAGGTGTTATATAATTTGTTAAATCACATTTAAAGTGTATTTACTGTCACAAAACATTTAGATGTGATATTTCTAGTTATATTTATACCCTAAGGTAATCTCTCATTCTATAAAACTGAAATACTGAACTGCTGGACAGTAAATATTCTCAATTCTAGATACATTTTAGGGACTTTTCTAAGTAAAAAGAAACCAAACCTTAACTAAGAATTACATAACAATCTTTAGTTATAAGGATTACTGATGTTTTCTTTTTACTTATTTTGAAGACTGGGAGGTTTTCTGAAGTGTAACTTGTTTTAACTCCATTTATCTCTTCATAATACTTTAATGTTGGAAGGAATAAGTTGTAACCTCAAATGAAAATATGGTTCTTTACAGCTGTTTCTGCTATTCTAAAAATATCTTCCTTCCTACATGATTTTAAAAGTTCCAAGTTCTTTCTCAGCTAATAACATGGGGGTGGGGGGAGGAAGTTGTTCAAAATTTTTTAAATTATAATTTTGGAAGTTTACGATCAACTGGAAAACATGAAAGGAATTTTTTTTAAAAGGAGAAAGGGAAAAGGGGAGTATTTGTGTATCTATTTGTCTAATGTTGTGCTAAAGGACTTAACAACTGTCTTATTTAATCCTCCCAAAATGTGAGACAGATACTATCCACACTGAGCAGATGAGGCAGCAGGTTCAGAGAAGTTCAATAAGTCGCAGAGCAAATAATAAGCACAACCTGGATTCCTTTCAAAGTCAAGTTCCTCCCACCATATACGCAGGCTGCCTGATCCTCCTGTTTGCTGAGCTGCTTTGCTCAGCACCATTGGTGGAAATTACTTTATGACTCTTGTCTTATCTTTAACCTAAAAATTCACTTGCTTTTTTCTCACTCAAAATTTTGTATTTCTCAAACCCATACGATAGCACTGTTTATTATTTATTTATACTTGATTGGAAATACATTTCATTATTTTCTTTTTTCTAATGTTAGTCTGCTGTTTTTATCCCACTCTGTTCTTATCACTAACGTATTACATTATTTTGGAAATAACTTCGTAATAAATGAGACTGCAATTTTATAGGAACCAAAGGCCAATTCCATTGATTTTATCTGTCTACTTAATTCTAAAATAAACAAGGGAAAATGAGTCTAAAATTTTGTGTGAAATACAGAGGCCAGGACATGGAGTCAGGGAAACCTGGCTCAAATCTGTTTCCAGGTGACTAATCACCTTGACTTAAAGCATTCACTTTAAGCTTTCTGATCTCTGTGTTAATGCAATCTTATCTATCTTCTCCCACAGAAACAGAACAAGGATGAGTAATGCATGTAAAGGCATTATAAACTCTTCCCAGGATGGGACAGTTCAATGATCATTATTTTATAATTAAATACGGGAAAAAAATCAGTGTAATTTTTGGACAGGTTTTAACAATACTAATTATACTTGTATATAACTCACAGCAATAATTATTTATTAGCTTTCTTCTAAACTTTAAGATACATAGATAATGCCTTATTAATTCACATTCTTAGTATCTCTCTGCTGTAGACCATAGGGTATATCCATTGGAGAATGGATTAATGAGGCATTTATAGGAAGGGAGGCATACGGAGAAGACAGTATCATGTAATGGGTTGGATCTTGGACTCTGGAATCAGAAAAGCTGGATTCTAATTCCTGCTCCACTGCCTAGCACCTGTGTGACCCAGGGCTCATGAGGGCCTCAGTTTCATCTCTAAAATTAGGGATAATAATCCTATCTACCTCACAAGACTGCTGTACAGATAAAATGAGAATGCACCATAGACACTTTTTACAATGCCTGGATTATTGTCAGCCCTCAACAAATGTTAGCTGTTATTATTAGCAAGAAGACAAATCTTTAGGATTCCATGAAACTCTTTAAGTTGCATGAAGGTTAAGTGATTAGCCCAAAGTGACTCATCTGGGAAAAGTCACACTAAAGTTAAACTGGAAGCAGTCATTGGTTTTTCAAAAAATCTTATACTTTACAAAATGACTCATAATAAGGTTTTTAAAAATAATCTTAAGTAGCTAAAATGATTTAATATGTAAAAACCTTTAATACACACATTTCCAGAAATGTCTTTTCTTGAACAAAACTAGGCACAATAGCTTCTGCATTTCACATCATAGTAAGTGTGGAGGAAGCTTAACTATAGTTTAGCAGCCGCTGTGATACCTACCAGTCCATCTGTTAGCAGCTTCTTTGGCTGCTTTATTTGCTTGACCTGGAAAAAAATATATACACATAACCATCTTTATCTGTCTAGAGATACTTTTTCTTATATGAACAAAGATTATACAAATAAAATGGCTATGGAAAAAAGCTCAAACAGTACCATATTGTATCTCACAAACCTGCTTAACTTCCAATGGAAATTTTAGATAGTTGTAATTATGTTAGTCATTAATAGAAAGTCAAAGTGAACAATTTCCCTTTCCTAAATGCCCATTATTATTGTTTTCCTCCTTTAAAGACAACATGTAAGTTTAACTGAGATGTATTTCTCAAACAATTTACAACACCAAAAGAGGATAAAATAATTAAGTTTAATGGTAAGAATTTTAGTGTACGGATGTATGTCAGATCACAATAAACCTGATCTTAAAAAATTTTTCAATGGTCATACAGTGACCCTGCAGGAGGAAATATTTACTTTATATTTAATTATATACCTGGCTATTAAATGTGTCTGTATTGATATTATGTCTTTCAAGTTAATCTACACAGCATATAACAATGCCATAATCAACTGGGCATAAATATTATTTGCAATGATGGCATTTATTGATTGAAAGATAATTTATATACCACAGAATTCACCATATGATAGTGTACAATCCAGTGGTTTCTAGTATATTCACATGGTTGTACAACCATCACCACGTAATTCCAGAACATTCTCATCATCCAAAAGGAAATCCCACATCCATTTAGGAGTCACTCCACATTCTCCCTGCTCCCAGCCCCTGGAGAGCACCTATCTACTTTCCATCTCTATAGATTTCCCTGTTCTAGACATCTCATATAAACAAAACCGTACAACATGTGTCTGGCTTCTCTGACTTAGCACAACGTTTTCAAGTTTCATCCCTGTTGTGACATGTATCACTGCTTCATTCCTTTTTATTGCCAAATAATATTCTATCATGTGGCTCTACCACATTTTTGTCTAAGCATTCATCAGTTGTTGAATATTTGGGTTGTTATTGTAATATGACTAGTTTAATAATTTTTGTGTGAACATGTTTTCAAGTTGGGCACACATCTAGAAGTGGAATTGCTGGCTCAAATGGTAACTCTAAATTGTTTTTAAAAGTGGGTGCATATTTTAACAGTCCCCCCACCCAGCAATCTAAGAGTTCCAATTTCTCCACATCCTCACCAATAATTTTTTTCTATTCTTTTTATTATAGCCATCCTAATGGGTGTAAAGTGGTATCTCATTGTGGTTTTGATTTGTATTTCCCTAATGACTGAAGATGTTTATCTTCTTTTCATATGCTTAATGGCTATTTGTATATTTTCCTTGGTGGGGGGGGGGATATGTCTATTCAAGTCCTTTGCCCGTGTTTAAATTGGGTATTTTTAAAATTTTTTATTGTTGAGCTGTAAGATATATATATATATATATATATATATATATATATATATATATATACACACACACACACATATATATATATATATTTATATATATATATTTTTTTTATGAACACCCAGGTTACCTCTGTATCTTGGCTATTGTAAGTAGAGTAAGGCAGAGAAAGACAAATACCATATGATTTCACTTATATGAGAATCTAAAGAACAAAGTAAACAAACAAAACAGAAACAAACTCATAGATACAGAAAACATTTTGATCTAGGAGGAGGGTGGGGATGAGTGAAAAAAAGGAAGGGATTAAGAAGTACAAATTGGTAATAACAAAATAGTCATGGAGATATAAAGTACAGCATAAGGAATACAGTCAATAATATTGTAATAACTATGTCTGGTATCAGGCAGGTACCAGATTTATCAGGGTGATCAATTCCTAAGTTATATAAATGTTTAACACTATGTGGTACACCTGAAACTAATATAATATTGTATGTCAACTTTAACTGAAAAATAAAACAATTATTTAAAAAAATATATATACATACATACATTTTTTGGATATTGAAGACTTGTCAGATATAGGGTTTGCAAATATTTTCTCCCATGCTGTGGGTTTTCTTTTCACTTTTTTTTTTTTAACTTTTTTTTTTCCTCTTATTTTTATTGGGGAATAGCCATGGTCATTGGTTACACTTTGCTTTCATGCTACACTGGCATAGCTGACTCTTTTAAGGAGGACGTAGCTCATGATGGCCCATGCAGGGATCAAACCGGCAACCTTGGTGTTATCAGCACCACGCTCTAACCAACTGAGCTAACCGGTCACCCTCTCTTTTCACTTTCTTGATAATGTACTTGGACACACACAAAAAAGTGGTAAATTTTGATGAAGTCAAATTTATCTATATTTTCTTTGATTGATTGAGCTTTTGGTGTCATATCCAAGTAACTGTTCCCTAATCCAAGGATATATCTATGTTTTCTCCTAAGCATTTTATAGTTTTTAGCTCCTACCATTTAGATTTTTTATCTGGTTGAGTTAATTTTTTAAGTACAGTATGAAGTAGAAGTCCAGGTTGATTCATTTGTATGTGGATGACCGGGTTGTGCCCAGCACAGCTATATGAAAACACTTCATTCCTGATTGAATGACACCCTTGTTGAAAACCCACTGGATTTACTTCTGGGCTCCCAATTCTAATCCATTATCCTAAATGTCTATTCTTATACAAGTGCCACACTATCTTGGTTACTGTAGCTTTGTACTAAGTTTTGAAATTGGGAAATCTGAGCATTCCAGCTTTGTTGTTCTTTTTCAAGATTCTTTTGGCTATTCTGGGTCCCTTGCATTTTCATATGAATTTTAGAACCAGCTCATCAACTTCTGAAAAACAGTTGGAATTTTGATAGCTTTTACATTGAATCTGAAGACCAATTTGGGGAGTATTTCCACCTTAACAATATTAAATCTTCTAATCTGAGAACATAAGATGTCTTTCTATTTATATAGGCCTTTAATTTCATTCACTGTTTTGTAGTTTTCAGTATGTCTTGCACTGCTTTATTTTATTCCTACGTATTTTATTCCTTTTGCTATTATAATTGGAATTTTTTCTTAATTTCATTTTCAGAGTGTTCATTTTTAGTAAATAAAATACAGGTGTTTTTGTATATTGATTTTGTATCCTGCAATCTGCTGACCTCACTTATTAGCACTAACAGATTTTTTGGGGGGATAGTTTGTTTAAGGCTATGTATATAAGATCATGTTAACTACAAATACAGTTTTACTTTTTCCTTTTCAACACACATGCCATTTCTTTCTCTTTCTTGCCTAAATGCCCTGGCTTGAACTTCTAATATAATGTTGAATAGAAGTGGTGAGAGTGGACATTTTTCAGGAAAGCATACAGCCTTTCGCCATTCAATACAATGTTAGCTGTGGATTTTTTGTAGATGTTGTTTTATTAGATTGAGGAAGCTCACATTTATTCCTACTTTGCTGAGTGTTTTTATCATGAAAGGGTGTTGGAATTTGTCAAATACTTTTTCTTTGTCTATTGAGACATCATGTGGGGTTCCTCCACCTTTATTCTATAAATGTTTTATTTGATTGATTTTTGTATGTTGAACCAACCTTGCATGCCTGGGATAAATGTCAGCTAATCACGGTGTATAATCCTTTTCATATACTGCTGGATCTGATTTACTAGTATTTTGTTGAGAATTCTTGCATCTATATTCATAAACAATATTTACCTATAGTTTTCTCATTATGATGTCTTTGTCTTGTTTTGGTATCATGGTAACACTGACCTCAAAAAATGAGTTAGGAAGTGTTCTCTCCTTTTCTAACTTTTTATTTGAAAAGTTAATTCTTTAAACTGGTAGAATTCTCCCAATTCTACAGCCCCATTGTAGACTGGGCTTTTCATTGCAAGAAGTGTTTTGATTTCTAATTCAATCTCTTCACATGGTATAGGTCTATTTAGTTAGTCTATTTCTGCTTGAGACAGTTTTGGTAGCTTGTATCTTTCTGGGAATTTGTAAATTTCATCTAGCTTATCAAATTTATTGACATACAACTTCTTATACATTTCCTTATAGTCTTTTATTTTCTGTAAGGTTGATAATAATGTTCCCTCTTTCATTTCGAATTTAAGTAATTTGAATCTTTCTTTTTTTCTTGGTCAGTCAAGATAAAGGTTTGTCAATTTTGATCTGCTTAAGGAACCAACTTTTGGTATCACTGATTTTTCTCTTGTTTTTCAATTCTCTTTACTCTTATTTCTTCTCTATTCACTATATTTACTTCCTTCTGCTTGCTCTTTCTTTCGTTTTTCTTTTTTTTTAAAAGATTTTTATTGGGGAATTGGGGGGATGGGAACAGCACTGGGGAATTGGGGGAAGGGGAACAGACAAGTTGCTGTCGTT